CTGGAGCACCTCTGCTGTGAGGACAGGCTGAGAGGGTTGGGGTTGTTCAGCCTGGAGAAGAGAAGGCTCCAGGGAGACCATATAGCAGCCTTGCAGTATCTGAGGGAAGCCTACAGGAGAGATGGGGAGGGACAAGGGCATGTAGTGATAGGGTGAGGGGTAATGGCTTCAAACTAGAAGAGGACAGATTTAGATTAGAAAGATTAGGAAGATTAGGAAGAAAATTTTCACTATGAAGGTGGTGAGGCACTGGGACAGATTGCCCAGAGAAGCTGTGGATGCCCCATCCCTGGAGGTGTTCAAGGCCAGGCTGGATGGGCCTTTGAGCAACCTGGTCTAGTGGAAGGTGTCCCTGCCTGTGGCAGGGGGGTTGAACTAGATGATCTTTAAGGTCCCTTCCAACCCAAGCCATTCTATGATTGGTAAAGCAGGGCCAGACCGAGCCCCAGGGGATGCTGGTGTCTCCCTGAGCTTCTGCTTCCCACCCCGCTCCTCACCCCTGAGAGAGGTGGCACGAGGTCCCTGGCCACCCTGTATGCCCACCCTCAGCTGGTTCCTGCCTGCTGCCAGGCGGCTTCAGCCTGTGGGCATCGTGTATGTGTGTTGTCTTAAAATTCCCCCAAGGGAAAGAGTTACTTCCTTGGCAGTTGCTTTGCTTGGGTGGTGTGAGGGCCAAGCTACAGGGGTGTGCTACAATACCAGGTTCTTCGTCCTGTATCAAGGGTAGCTGATCCACCACTGAGCAATGTACATGTGAGGATTAATGTCAGCTTTTCTCTGTTTTAGCACTACCTTGACCATGTTTAACCAATGGAAACACGATGCTTGTGTTGCTTGGCACCATGTGGCAGTCAGCTCCCCACAGCCGAGCAGCTCCCAAGGCTGTCAGCGCCTCACCAGCATGCTGCTGAAGGTACTGTCCACACTTCCTGGCACTTGGTTGTTCTACCTTTAAGGTCCCCAAAGGAATTCAATTTAGGGCAGCCATTCCCTCAAATATTCCCTTTGGTGTTCAATGGTTTTTTGTCTCTCGCCATCTTCCAAACACAACTGTAAAACATGGTACATTTTATATGCTTTCTCTCCCTTAAAAACAGACACATTATTTCTTCCCTTGTGGGACTACAGTTGTAACCACAATGGGCAATGATCGCAGGACAAACAAAGGGCTAGGGCTACAGGAAGAAGTGTGTGCCAAGCACTTTTCTCAGATGGTTTAATTGCTATGTATGCAATTACAACCTGAGAACTATTGTTACGGGTATATTTAGCATGCCAGTCTATTTCAGTTACACCTTTGTGTGCCAAAAAGCATTTCTGCATTTTCTCACTCTACAACTTGATAGAACAAAGATACTACTTTTACCTGCAAATGTTTCTTGGGTCTGCTTGCCTTTTCCAAAGTTCTTGTTTCTCCTTGTGTTAGGAACTTTTGCTAGCAATCTTATATGCTGACATTGGTTTCTGGTTGTCTTTATCTTAAAAGATAAAATCATGTTTTGAAGGTAGAAGAGGTACTAACACAAACACAAATAGGTAAAAAACTCACCCTCTGCCTCCTGGTTGCAGAAAAAAAAACCAGTTTCATATCTGTAATTAAGCAAATTATATGTAAATACAATTATTTTATATTTCAGGGAAACTGGAAACTGTGGTCTTTTGCAATTGCAGAGTACCCTGCCTACTAGGATCATGCACGTTGCTGGAGCAGTGTGGTGAGTTACTTTCTGAATGAACAGTAAGTTGTATTTCCTCTGGCAAAGGAGACAGCGAAAAATGTTAAGGAAATCACTCTGGCAACGTTCTCATGTTGAAAAGAAGTGCCATGACATATTAATTAAAAGTGCCATATCCAAAGCTGATAAAAGGATGATTCACTTTTACACAGTGAATAATAAAACTATGGAAATTATTGCTACAAAAAATCTGGGAGACTGAGCATCTTGCTTCAGAAGTGGATTTGATGTTTCTAGAGGCAACAAGAAAATACAGAGTTCTTTTACAGATATGGTTTTGACCAGTATTAGCCATCTTGTTTTATGCAAAAGATCTAATGTCTGAGACATTAGAAAGAGATCTGGAGTGGCATAATTATCCCACATCTCCTTCTTGCAGAGTGAGTCCTAGTTACACTATGCAATTTTCTAGGCTTTATCCCATCTGTTACCTGCCGAGATTGGGCAGACCCCTGATTTACTCTACTCTTATAAAAACTTCCTTCTTAAAACTGGATAGCAAGGAAAGGTGAAACCCTGCCTGCACGAGTCACGTGATGCCTTTGAAAAACTGTGCTAAAGAGTGTGTAGAGCCAGCACTTTTGTTTATTCTCGGTTTATTCTCATCCAGCTAAAGTGGATTTGAAAGTCAACCTTAATGCATTGGAGCGCTCACACAGATTGCAACATCATAACCTACTATGTTTCAAATGGGTTTGATTTAAAGCCTGGCAACCAGCGCAGGTGGACAAGCTTTTTCTGAGAGCTTCAGAAATAAGCTATGGAGGAAGATATTTGGAGAAAGCTTGGGGCATGAAGTGTGTTTAAGTATGTGCAAATAAGAGTCATGGCTATGGTTCTGTTTGTGGCTTGGTAATGTCATTCCAGGGACTATGTTTGCACGTTACATATTGCTCGAGTAATTTAAAAGCCCAGATGACTTTCCATATTGTATCCATGACTGTATATTTCCCTACCTTTAGGTTGCACAGTCTATCGGAAAAATCAAACCTCCATCTTGTATTTAATTTTGAAATAGAACACCAAGATCTGTTCCAAGGGACTTAGGAAAATTGCATAGTTTTGTTTCAGAAATAACAATGATACAACCTTGCTTATTGCAGGTGGCTGTCATTGCAGGTTTGACTCACGAAACTAATTTGTGGGCTGCTGAAATACTCTTTCATTAGGTACTGATGGGATACTAGATACTGAGTGAGGAGCAGCTCACGTACACAACCCCTTTCTAGCCAGGAACAACTGAATGATGAGTTGAATACTGCCATCCACTGGCTGTCTGCACAGAAAACTTATTGAACTTGAATTTTTTTACGGGAAAATTAAAAAGTACCTCGTAGTGTTTTCTTTTTTGTTTTTTTTAATATGTTTAACTTCCCTGCCAGGACTTACTGTCAGCCTGTATGATGATAGGTTTAATTACAGCAAGGTTACCTCAGAAAGAAAGAAAAAAAAAAGTTTTTAGTCCAACAGATAAGCTTTGGCTGTAAGGAAAATTAGTTTTCCAGAACATAATCTGTCCAGAACATACATTAGTCTTTCCAGAGGAAATACAGTAATTTATACAGAAAGTCCAGAATACACAATCCTTAATGTAATTCCATTTTATAACATTTCTGACCTATGCCTAGAATACGTATCAATGGCATTAACTCTAGCATGAGCTTTTTATTATAAACACAGAGACTGAAGAAGTTTCTTGGTTGCTTCCTTTTACTAAAGTCTGCTTTACAGCTGACAAAGCCAGCTGGCACCGCGAGTCGCACTCGGTACAGAAAGGCAGGTTTGGGATTAAGTCAGAGGAGTGGGAGTGCGAGGTTCTACTTGTGGCTCAGTCACTGATATCCTGGGTTATCATAGGCCAATCTGCTAATTTTCACTATCGGTCATACGGACAACCCAACTGCTTGCTGGAGTGGGTTTTCCTCCCACCACCAAGGAAAGAATGGACCAAGAGCATGTTGTGCTCTAGGACTCACCAGCAAATGTCCTGGATAGTAGTGGCAACAGAACAACTCAGAGCAGCGCTAAATTTAGAGTTTTTCTAACTTATATGTGGGGATGGCATGGGCAGAAAAGCGGGTTCTTTGACGGCTTTGTTCATTCTGCCTCCCTGATCTCAGAAGTTTTCCATGAGACTTTACATATAAATGTGTCTGAGGAGGACAGTGTTGGAGTAGAATGGAATTTAATTTAGAAAACAACAGCAAGTTCCAACACCATCTTTACTAATAAAAACAGTGTGTGACAGATTTCTGGGCTGTGCCTGATTCTGATGTTAGCCACAACTGTGTTACCCTGAAGCAACTCATTGATAGTGACCAAACTACTTACAGGGTTAAAAACCAAACAAACACAAAAAAAAACCAAAAAAACCAAACCTCAAACCAAGTAACACCAAAAACAATCCAGAACTTGATGTTTTTACTGCAAGGATATCTGAGGCAAATTTCAAAGATGGCATGACTGATTAAAAGGTATGCAGCAATGCAGGGTGATGTCAATGTAGGAATGATTAAAGTATTAACTAGTAGCTACTTTAAAGACAATGTACATTGTTCTTTATTAGCTACAACTATGCAATACAAAGCATAAAGAAACACACAACGATCTCCTAGGAAACAGAAGTTCTGTTCAGAATAGTTCTTACAAAGGACTGATGGCTGTCGAAAGACCCACTTTTTGACTTGCCAACTGTGCAAAATCTTTCAAATAGGAAATCAGGCATATTATTATGCGTGTTTATTTAAAGGCTGCTGAACTGCAGACTCCTAAGCGAGCAGAACCACAGGCAGAGGAGTTACAGGGGGATAAGTTTGGGTTAGTTCAGAGCTCGGCCATACAACCGCACTGTTCCCAAGTTAGTGCTACAGGTACTTGTCATCTCAGAAAGCTGCATTCTCCATTAAGTACGGTAATTGGTTGAAAGGATCGCATGATTATTATCATTATTATTATTAATCATGTAATACTGTAGCCACCGGCAGGAGCACCGAGCGCTCCGGGCTCCCCGCCGTGCCGGCTGCCCTCGCACAGACCCCTCCAGGCCCGCGGCTGTTGGCGGAGGGTTCCGGTGGCCAACCGGGGTGCATGGAGGAAGCGATGGAGGGTGGCTCAGGGCCGGGCCGCTCCGCCTGACCCCCGCTTCTCCCGCTTCTCCCTTCCGCCGTCAGACAGCGCTCCCGGGGCGGGACCGGCGGGGCGGGACCGGGGCGGGCGGAGCCCCGCCTCACAGCGCCCCCTGTCGGACGAGGCT